AATCCTGCGTTCAGCCTGGACAAGCTTACTGCCTGGTGGCATCACGGCCCGCAGCTCTCAGTGATTTCCCTGAAAGTCTACGTGTGCGTTCTGCTGTTGATTGAGCTGCTTGGTGTGTCAGCCCGGGTAGTTGCAGTTCTCTCTTTGCCCGAAACTCTGAGACGAGTGCGGCGACATCCGTACGGGCCAGGAGAACCTCCGCTGCCTTCTACACAAGTCTGTCGTTTTTGTGTTTATATATTGAGTTTCAAGAGGGAATTGAAAAGAAAAGGCAGTGAAATCCACCAAGGATGAGCTCGGGCTTCTGGAAGGTCACAGCCTCGATTCGACGCCGCACCTCATGCCACGGCTCACGTATCTCTTCATGCCAGACTTGGACGACAACACCGCTGACATCCATTCCGATTTTCATGCCCTGCTTCGAGCTACGCTGTTGATTGCCTGGTGCATTTTTCTGGTCGCTCCCTGCGCCTGGAGAAGGACAAGTACGCTTTGCTACGTCTACGGAGCGGGGATGTATTTCTATTTTGGGAGCCTGAGCATGATGTTTCAGCCCACCCAAAGCGTATGCTGCTCATACTTCTTTTTGCTAGGGGCGACCTTGGTCGTACCTTATGCTGGAGATTCTCATGGACAGGCATGGTTATGGAAGTATCTGGTTATGAGCATACTTGTGCCATTGTACCTAGCAGCAGGCTTCTCCAAGCTACGGTACGCTGGTTGGCTATCAGTTCTCACAGGAAGTTGGATGCAGCACAGCTTGCTGGATTCCCCGTCTTTGTTTCCTGGCTTCAATGCTTGGGCAGGACACACCCCATTGGTGACGGCCTTATTTTCGGTCGGATGCATGCTCGTCGAGTTCGTGGGGCCTCTGCTCGTCCTTTCCATCGATGTCGGAAAGCCATGTTCCAAGGTTGCGCGGTGGACGCTCACGGTGTGGAGTTGCCTTCTCCTCGGCTTTACTCTCGGGGTCTTCGTCTTCCTCGGCCCAAATTTTATTCGCCAAGTTCCATTGACAATCCTGGTTCTATATGGGCTCTGGTGCTCGGATGGATCCGAGCACCAGCGCTCTGAAGCTCGTCAAGAAGCCCCACGTTGGGTATATCACTGCAGGGTGATACTGGCAATGCTGCTTTTGAGCTGGTGGTTTGCCGTTGAAATGTGGTCAGACCTGGCACATCTCACCGGCGCCTGCCCACAGCTATCAAAGCACGATTCAAATTGGCCGATCGGTGAGAACTCCCAGTTCACCCATCCGTCGGAGACATCGAATTATGCACGATCTCTGTCTCTCGAGATTTTGGTCATTTGCGGCCTTTGCGTGAAGAAGTGGCGGGACATTTGGTCCACCACGAAGAGCGACGCATAGAGCAGTGGATGGACAGGAAAAAAGGCAGGTCTGCTTCACGGCAGTTGCCAGGATACTGGCGAGGCCGCAGTTGTGTTCGACACACCTCCCTGCTGCTCCGGCCGATTCTGTCCAGTTATACGTTATATCCTATCTTACACATTCCGTTCTGATCGCCGAAGCGCCCCAAGCCCCAGCCCAGACCTCGACTCCCCGGCTTTCGGCCTGCCAGCTCTTGGGCTCCCAGTTGGGTTTCACCCCTAGGCTCGTCGAAGCTGCTTCGCAGAAACTCGCGGCCTGCAGAAACCGTTTGAGAGCCTTTGAAAGGACAAGGTGTGAAGCTGAGAGAGAGCGAGGGAACCGCAAAAACGTTTGCATCCAGCCTGGGTTGACCTTTCCCCTCGCGTCTTCTCATGTCGGGCCCCGGCGCCGGTCCCTGGGCCCAAGGCGGAGTTGTGGTTCTGATGCTGGCTGACGGCGCTGAACCAGAGTGATATGTGCCTTCTTAGGGTTTTTGTGGTAGTAATCTGATCTTCGGGGGGCCCAAAGGTCGCTTGCGCACAGCCCTGGACTGTGCCAGGTGTGGTCGATTGGTTCCGACACGAACCCCTGCAAGTGGGAGCCGGGAAGCTTGCCTAAGCGTCCAGTTGCTTTGGAGGTTTGGGTTTTGGTGCTTTGGGGATCAAGTTTTCCATGAACTGTGGCTCGTTAGGTCTTGCAGGTTGTGCATGCCTCTGACCAGCTTTTCTATCATTCTCTAGGCTTCCTCTGTATCGGATTGGCGATTTCTTGTTCGATCTGCTGCGTTGGATCGCATGTTTCTGCTGCTTGACTTGTAAAGCGGGCGCAAATACGAACGATTCAAGTCGCACTGCGATTGTTGATTCGGTGTGTTCGCTGTGCTTCGTCCTGTGGCTTCGTGCTTGCATTCCTTCACGGCCGAGTGCCGACACGAGTCTGTTTGCCCGTTGTTTTTACATTCTCTGTGATGGAGAGTGCACATAATCCGCTGCTTGTCCCGTTGTACGACCCGCAGGGGTACCAGTAGAGTTCACGCTCACCGTAGCTCAATTGAAGCAGCCACCTCGGGGGCGAGAGATTTAGCTTCAATGCTCTCTGAGCGCAGTAAGCTGACGTCACCATGCTGCATAAAGCTGCTCTTTGAAGGGTGCTACTCGTAGAGCTCCGGGATCTCTTTTTGCTAGATTTGGATCACGAAGCCTGGGAACGTTCTCCATGCAGCGGTGCTGAGGAACCTCTTCAAGACTTTTCCTGGGCGCCGATGCAGCTTGGCCGATGCAGTCGAGGGAAGATTTCTTCTGAGCTTTAGCAAGATGCAGGAAGATGATGTGCCAGGGACGATTGCTTCAGTGCCCGAACCAGCCCCAGCTCAAAAAGGAACTTGGGCTTTCCAAGGTATCCTTGTAGCACACAAGGGGCGGCTCGTCTACGAGCCTCGGAAAAGCTTAGCTGGATTTCAACAACAGAATCTGGTTTCGAGAAGTCAGCATGGCCTTGTTGACCTTTGCTGTGAGACTGAAGCTTTGCTACAAAGCCGTTCAAGACAAGACACGGAACTTCCGAGCTGGCGCAACTAGGAGCATTATGCCCCCGGCGCCGATGCCTTCGAGCAGATTGAGCTGGACAGCGCAGCGAAGACCGTGAGCGCGCTGCTCATCGGTGTCTTGGTCACGCAAGGCCTGGGGCCCCAGGGAGGACGGGAGAACCTCGGCCCAGAGATGCCAAACCTCCCAAGTACTATTGTTATTAGTATTACTATTATTACCATTATTACTAGAACCATTGGAATTGCTATTCTTCTCCCAAGTCGAGTGGAAAAGTCGCAGCACCCCACCGACTCGGAGAGGCAGGCTGGACATTGACCGGCCCCTGGCGGAGTATAAGGTGAAGCCTTCTGCTTACTGGGGTCCCTTGGCTTCGACAGAGCTCGGACAGTTTCATAGGCATATCGCAGCCAATTTCTGTGCACATTTGGGTTCTACTTTGGGTGAGATACCACTGTCACGCCGCTGCCTGCTGACAATCAGGTGACCATGACGAGACTCTGGGCTGCAGCTTCAACTCTTGACATGTTATAGGGGAAAGAATATTTTTCCCCGATAATACTA